GCCAAAGGTGCCCTCTGACTCCTCGCTGTCTCTAGTGAAAGGAAAAAGAGATGAGCCAAACAGGGAACCGTTTTCAAACAAAATTTAAAGGAAACATAAACGAGAAAGGGCTTTCTGAGTTAGAAAATAAAACTTGTTTCAGTCTCTGTCTCTCTAGACAAGAAAAAATTCTCAAATTAAAAAATGGTTTCCAGGGCTTCCCTGGTGGCGCAGTGGTTGAGAGTCCGCCTACCGATGCAGGGGACACGGGTTTGTGCCCCGGTCCGGGAAGATCCTACATGCCGCGGAGCGGCTGGGCCCGTGAGCCATGGCTGCTGAGCCTGCGTGTCCGGAGCGTGTGCTCCGCAACGGGAGAAGTCGCAACGGTGAGAGGCCCGTGTACCGAAAAAAAACAAAACAAAACAAAACAAAAAAAACGGTTTCCAGATTGTGGTGACAGTTACACTCCGTGGGTGTGTGTATGTGTGTATATGAACTCATCAAATTGAACACTTTATTCTTTTGGTTTTTTGTTTTGTTTTGTTTTAACATCTTTATTGGAGTATAACTGCTTTACAATGGTGTGTTAGTTTCAAACTGAAAACTTTAAATTGCATTTATGGTACTTTAATTATCCCTCAATAAATCTTTTTAAAAAAATCTAGAGTGGGACTGAAAGATCCTTTGCCAAGACCTAAGGAAGATTTAAAGTACTGCCTCACAGACTCTTACACACAGACAGACAAAAGGCCTTCTAAGGACCTTAAGGGTGAGCCCTGAAGATCCTCTGTAAATAATAAGGGCTCTAAGACTCTTAACAACCAGTGTCCCATAGCAATCTCACAGGGAAAAATCCACTTATCCACCTTCTGAGGTACTACAAGTGCCATGTGGAGGCTCTAAACCAAGGGCTCTAAGAGTGAATACAGAGGGGGGAGGGGAATCCTTCCTAGCTGAGTGGTCAAGAAAAGGACTGGGAGGGAAGTAACATCTGCATCCAGACTGGCAGAAATGTAAGGTTTGCATTAGAGAGCAGTGCAAGATTAAGACAGAAAGAAAAACCAGGGTTTTTTATGGAAGCCTTACAAAGCAAGCCAAGTTTGACGGTATCATAGATGACAGTAGTTTTTGAGCAGGGAAATCCCAGTCATGTTTATAGGGAGGTGAATGTAGAGGTACAATAAAATAACAGAAGGAACAGGAGAGCTAGGCTTGCGTTCTTCCCCCCATTAGCTTTGTATCCTTGGGGAGTACCTCCTCTTCTCTGTGTCTGTTAGCCAAACTGTCAAACAAGTGGGTGAGACCAAATGAGCTCCAAGGTTCCTCTTCAGCTCTGCCTTTCTCAGAGTCTATGGACTGAATGGAAAGGGAATCCAAAGTTAACAAGACCTATCATGGAAGACACTATAAAGAGTCAAATAGTACAAGTAGCCTATGCTCTAAGAGGCTGATCTCCCAGCCATCTAAACAACTGGTCAACCAACAGTTAGTCTTCTAGGTACCAGGCACAGTTCCAGGCTCAGAGGAAACAGAAAGCAGTCAAAGTCCTTGACCCCAAGAAGTCTACACTTTTACAGGCACCCAAGTTTCCCACACATACATCCAGAGGTAAGGTTTCCAAAACACAATACAGACAGCCTATATTTGCAAGTCACAATGATCCAGATGCTGGAGTTTCACAGTGAAGAAGCTGTTAAGGAAATAAGCAGACATGACAAGTCTTCTGAGAACAGCCCCTGCTGCCTGCCAAGTCTCACAGTACAAGTGAAATCTCCTGAGAGCAACAAGTGGCAAAGTTTACCCCATCTAGATGGCCGAACTAGCTCTCAACATAACACTTTCTTAGCAACCATTAGCATGACCATTTCTTTTTTTTTTTGGCTGCGTTGGGTTTTTCGTTGCTGCATGCAGGCTTTCTCTAGTTGCGGTGAGCGGGGGCTACTCTTGGTTGAAGTGTGCGGGCTTCTCATTGCGGTGGCTTCTCTTGTAGCGGAGCACGGGCTCTAGGTGCACGGGCTTCAGTAGTTGTGGCATGCGGGCTTCCGTAGTTGTGGCTCGCGGGCTCTAGAGCACAGGCTCAGGAATTGTGGCGCACAGGCTCAGTTGCTTTGCGGCATGTGGGATCTTCCCAGATCAGGAATCGAACCTGTGTCCCCTGCGTTGGCAGGTGGATTCTTAACCACTGTGCCACCAAGGAAGCCCAGCATGACCATTTCTTAGCAAGCAAGTCACTAAGCTGCTTCTGGTCCCACCCAGGTCATCAACACCAACATCATAAAGCCTGACCTCTGGAATTCAGAGGAGCTTTGAGAATCTCACCTCCCACCCCCAGAAATGGATGCAGCCAAATCTAACGAGCTGGAGTGGGAACAGCCTGTGGGGGGGTGAAGCAGCTAAGGGTGAAGCAACGTGACCCTTTGTCCTCACTAACAGAGAGAAAGGGAAGCCTGCTCCAGGAGACCAAAATACAGCAAAGAACAAAACTTTGGTGGTAAAACGAGAGGTTCACGTTTCCTCCTCCTGCATATCCTGCCAAATCAAGAATGGGCTATAAAGGAAAAGGAAGAGAATAAACTAGCAAAACACTCCTAAGAACCTAATAATGGAATGGAATCTAGGATCTTTACCCCAAACTAGCTTAGTGGTGGCACCAGGTGAAGTCTTATTCAAATTAAGGATATGGCCTTGCAAATACATATCTTGGCAGTTCCACAGGGTCCCATTTGCCCGTCCCCACCAGTTTTCCATGCCCCAAAGTACCCCTGCCCCCAAAGCTAGATACAAATGCCTCTCAGTATCATCAGCTTCCTCTGCCTCCATGTGGATGATGTGGAGGTCCCCAAAGCAGCCAGGGTTCAAAGGCCCAGCTTTCCAAGGTCCTAGCACCCCTGCACTTCCCAACCAAAGTTCCGGTCATACCTGGGAGTCTTTTCTCACTGGAACTCCTGGGCTGGCAATGATTAAAGGGCCCCAGGTCACAGGCAAATGTCTATCGAAAGGTCAGACTAAGAAATCTGGGTGCCAAGGTCATCAATCCAAACTGTAAAAGCCTTGAAAAAAGAGAATGGATCATCCCCCCCCTTTTCCCCTTTTTGTTTTTCAAAATTGTCATCTGGTAGTTTCTCTGTCCACCAAAGAGCCCAGCACCTCGGAGGAGAGCCCTCAGAGTTCACTGACAACTTCCTAAGAACAGTCCCAGATTTGGCTGGGGGTGAAAGCAGCCAGAGAAACCACCAGATGACAATTTTGAAATAATAACAACTACAGTCCAGCAGTAGCCTCTGAGAGAAGACTGTAGCTAGCCACAGAGGCCTGTGACTCCATGCCAAAAGCCCAGGAGAGGAGGGAGGGAAGCGGAAAGGTGGCAGGAAGGAAGGGAAGTGAAGACTTGGCAGGGAAAAATGCCTTTTTTTAGGCACATCAGAGGCTCAGATATTTACAAATACCATCCGTCATGTTATGATGGCAAGCAGGCTGGGAAGCTAAAGGAAGAGCAATTTCTAAAAATGTTTAAAACATGTAGGTATATACTCCAAATAGAAACTAGGGTGCCTGTCAGCAGTTCTGATTCTGCTTTGTGACTTTATGTAAACACTGCATCTCCCATCCCGGTCCCCACAAAGCGGAAATTAGAAGAAAAAAAGAATACTTGAAGGAGCTGAGGGCTGCTGGGTACAGTAATTTCTAATTCAGGTTCTAAATATACTATTTCTTTTAATTTAAGAATAAAATGGTAAAATCACACACAATGCTTATTTCACCCATACAGTCTCATATAAAAAAGTTGGGAACCTTAATTCCCAGTCTCTATCTGCCAACTCAGAGGCAGACTGCAGAGTAAGAAATGCCACCAGACTCGGGGGGGAGGGGGGAGCCCAGCAAAGTGGTTCCTGAAAAGTAGATAATGGGAGACAAAGACTCTGAGATCTAGACCTGTTTCTGCCTTGGCCACCGACACACCCTGGGATAGGTCAGTTTTTCTATCTGCTTTACCCAAGAGTTTGTTGGTGCCTGCCATCCTCAGCCTCACCCAGTTCAGGGAAGCAAGTATGCAAGCAACTCTAGTCCAGGTTAGACGGGGTGCGTGCGCAGGGGGTGTTCTCACTGGTCTTGCTGCCACAGAGTAGATATTCAATTTGTTTGTCTAAGCCCCAAGCTCTAACAAGTCATAATCTACCAATTTCTGTTCGGTTGGCACAGTCAATCCAGACCATTTCCACTGGGACCAAACTGCACATATGGTGTACAGAATTCCTCTTGCCTCATTCACGCCAGTCACTCCCCAGGGGCCACATCCTATGCCCCATTCTATCAACCATACCTGGATATTAGCTCTGAGTGAACCAAACATCTACCACTACCTCTGGCCAGACGTGACTGTGTGCCACACTCCACTGGACTCAGCCTGGTAACGCACAGCCCAGACCTCCAGGAAGGAACTAGCCCGATCCCAGGGTAAGATGAGCATCCTTCTCATCACTATCCATTCTAGCGGCTGAGGTTCCAAAGGCCAAATCCGCCCAACTGAGATTCAGCAGGAGGGGCTATGAAGGGTATGTGGCTTTAATAAAAGAGGTTCTTCTAGGACATCAGCATCCAGCCTTGGCCAAGACCTGAGAAGCCCTGGTGAGGGTTGTACAGCTATCTGCCAGCTCTGGAAGCTTCTACCCCACCACCGGGAGGAAGCTAACATTTACTGAGTGGCTTTTTGCCAGGCACTATGCTAAGCACTGACATATATTATCTCATTTAATCCTCACAGAAACTCTGTGAGATAAGTACTATTATTATTTTACAGATGAGTAACCAAAATGTTAGAGGGCATAAGAAAATGCCCTGAGATCTCACTATTTGGTAAGCAGTTAAAGTTTGGCCCAGATTGTGCACCTCTATGACTGTCAGAATCATGATGATAATCATTGACATTTGGCAGGAATCCTATCCAGGACACAGGTCACTAGGTGTCCTTTGATGTTACCTTCCAGTGAGCCCCATTCCCTTAGCAGTGCTCCCCGACTCACCTGCTCAGGGTCCCTCGAGGGGCCTTAGTGCCTCCAGCTCCGTGGGTGATACTGGAATTCTTGTTGGCAGTCATGGTCATTTCTGCTCTCTGCAAACACAGAGCCCTGCAAAGAAGACAAGACCTATAAGCCAAGTTTCCATGGGCAGCGAAAAGCACCTCAAACATTTCCAGATGACCTCCAAAACTGCCAACAGGGTTTCTGTGGTGGTTAGCAGGAACCACTTTCCCACATATATTTAATTTCATGTGTTACAGATTAAGAGCCTCAAGGGATCCCTGATCTGGGTTGGGGAAGAGTCTGTGAGCTAACAGATAACTTATCACTTCACAGAAAATGATTTTAAAAACTCCATTTCCATCCTGCTTCGTTTCATTTCTTAAGTTAGAGTTTCCCAAACTTCTGGCATGCCATACAGCCTTTATGAATTTTACCAGATTTGCTTACCTCCTGAACAATCATTTATTCAATGTTTTTCTTTAATCAACTTGAAACTGACTTACTTTTCTTAAAATAGTTAATCTTGTTCTAAACAATTAATCATTGACAAATATTTACTGAGTGAGCACCCATGTCCTAGGCACTGCCATCCAGCAAAGAATGAAACAAAGTCTCTGCTCTCATGAAGCTTACATCCTTATGGAGGGAAACAGACAATAAGCAGGCACAAGTCATGTGTGTGATACTTAAGTGTACATTTGTGTATAATATGTATAGTGATAAGTGGTAGGAAGAAAACATGAAGCAAGGTAGAGGGAGAGTGAAGAAGATTTGTTTTTTAAAATAGGATGTTCAGGGAAGAACATCCTGATAAAGTGACATCTGAGCCAGAAACCACAGTTATGAGTTATCATATTTTTAACATTAAAATATGATAAAATTAATATACTTTAAGGTATTTAAGTATTTACAAAGTGAAAAATGTCTGTACATGTACCATATACAGTTAGCTAATATAGTAACATTATTTTATGCTAAAATAATAAAAGGAAGAAAAATGTTAAAACTTAAGGGTACATCCAGACTGGAAATTGTCTCCTATTTGCAGATGGTATTATCCTCCATGTAGAAAATCATAACAATTCCACTAAAACACTCTTAAACTAACGTATAAAGTCAAGCAAGTTTGCAGGATACAAAGTAATATTTAAAAAATCAATTTTCTTTCTACATACCAGCAATGAACAATCTGAAAATGAAATTTTAAAAATTCCATTAATAATAGCAGCAAAAAGAATAAAATACTTAGGAATAAACTTAACAAAAGAAGTGCAAGACGTATGCACTACAAACTACAAAACATCACGGAAAGAAATTAAAGAAGATATAAATAAATAGAAAGGCATCCCAGGTTCATGATCGGAGAATTCCAAGTTGTTAAGATGGCAAGATTCCCCGAATTGATCTACAGACTGAACAGAATACTCATCAACTGCAGAAATTGACAAGCTGATCCTAAAATTTTGTGGCAGTGCAAGGGACCCAGAGCAGTCAAAACCATCTTGAAAAAGAAGAATAAAGTTGGAGGACTCGCACTCACCAATTTCAAAGCATACTACAAAGCCATGGTAATCAAGACAGTGTGCACAGATGTAAGAACAGAAATAGAAATCAACAGAATAGAATTGAGAGTTGAGAAATAAACCCATACATTTACGGTTAATTGATTTTCAACAAGGATGCTAAGACAATTCAAGAGGGAAAGAAGAGTCTGTTTTTTTTTTTTTTTGCGGTATGTGGGCCTCTCACTGTTGTGGCCTCTCCCATTGCGGAGCACAGGCTTCGGACACGCAGGCTCAACGGCCATGGCTCACGGGCCCAGCCACTCCGCGGCATGTGGGATCTTCCCAGACCGGGGCACGAACCCGTGTCCCCTGCATTGGCAGGCGGACTCTCAACCACTGAGCCACCAGGAAAGCCCAGAATAGTCTTTTCAGACAACTGGACATTCATATACAAAAGAATAAAGCAGGACCCTTATCCTTATACTATACAAAAAAAAGTAAAAATGGATTATAGACCTAAATTTAAGAGTTCAAATGACAAAAGCGAAGCCTGGAATACAACATAGAGGTAAAGCTTTGTAACACTGGATTAGGCAACAGTTTCTTAGATATGACACAAGCAACAAAAGAAAAAAGATATAAACTGTATTATACTAAATAAAAAACTTTTGTGCTGTAAAAAATACCACAAGAAAGTAAAAAGACTCCCACAGAATGGGAGAATTATTTGCAAATCATATATATCTGCTAAGCAACTTGTATCTAGAATACATAAAGAACTCTTCCAACTCAATAATAAAAAGACATAATCTAATTTAAAAGTAGACAAACAGAACACACCATTGTAAAGCAATGATACTCCAATAAAGATGTTAAAAAAAAAGTAGACAAAGAATTTAAACAGACATTTCTCCAAAGATATAAAGTTGGCTAAGAAGCACATGAAACAATGTTCAACATCACTAGTCATTAGGGAAATACAAATCAAAACCACAGTGAGGTATTACTTCACACCACCAGGATGACTCCAGTCAAAAAGATAAAAACAAGTGCTAGTGAGACTGTGGAGAAACGAAAACCTTCATTCACTGCTGGTGGAAATGTAAAATTGTGCAGCCACTTTGGAAAATACTTTGGCAGTTCCTCAAAAAGGGATACATAGAGTTACCATAAGACCCAGCATGATTCACCCCTGGGTATACAGCCAAGAGAAATGAAAACATGTCCACACAAATACTCATACCAATGTTCATAATAGCCAGAAAGTGGAAACAACTCAAATGTCCATCAGTGGACGAATGCATTAACAAAGTGTCGTATATCCATAAAATGGAATATTATTCAGACATAAAAAGGAGACATTCCACAACATGGATGAACTCTCATGCCATTTTTATGAAATGTACAGAATAGGCAAATCTGCAGAGACAGAAAATAAATTAATGGCTGCTTAGGGTTGAGTTGAGGGTAGGAGAATGGGGAGTGACTGCAATGAGTATGGGTTTTCTTTTGGGGGAGTGAAAAAAAGTTCTGAAATTAGATAAACAGTGGTGATGGTTGCATAACTGTGAATATATTTTAAAAATGAATTGTACACATAACACAAGTGAATTTTATGGTATGTGAATTATATCTCAATTTAGATGTTAAAAAAAACTTAAAAAAAATTTTAAGTCCCTTGGAGAATAGATGTGAGAGACAACAGTAATTCACAGTATCTCTAATGTGAATGTGGACTCTGTTCTGGGCCAACAGCACCTTCACAGACGCTGAACAGTTCAGGAACAATAGTTCTCTCACTCTGATTGGCATTCTCATCACACTGACCAAAATGAAGTATGTTTGGATGTGGAAGTTAAAGGTATTTATTTATGGCCACTAATGACCTTAATCCTGGAGGCCATCTTACTTATTATCTTGGTGCAAATAAGTGATTGGTTTCGATGATAAAAAATAAGCCAGACCCTAATTCTTGATATCATTTATAATTCTTTCCTAATTTCAACATGAAATGCACTCTCTCTAATTTCCTTACCTTTATACAATCTCTCAAGGTTGTCGTTTTGGTGATGGTAGTGGTGAGTGAAGCGGGAGCTGGAAGGGAGGAAGAAGCCCGTAGGTGCTAGCAATGGTGATAGCAATGAAACATCCCCCACGATGCTTTTAGAGAAAGAAAACAAACCCTGAGCCTCATTTTTATCCTTCATGAAAAGCCTTCCCGGGCTTCCCTGGTGGCGCAGTGTTGAGAATCCGCCTGCCAATGCAGGGGACACAGGTTCGAGCCCTGGTCCAGGAAGATCCCACATGCCGCGGAGCAACTAAGCCCGTGCGCCACAACTACTGAGTCTGCGCTCTAGAGCCCATAAGCCACAACTACTGAGCCAGTGTGCTGCAACTAAGGAAGCCCGCGCACCTACAGCCTGTGCTCCACAACGAGAAGCCACCGCAGTGAGAAGCCCGCGCACCTCAACGAGGAGTAGCTCCCGCTCGCAGCACGCAGAGACCCAATGCAGCCAAAAATACAATAAATAAATTTAAAACAAAAACAAAGAAAAGCCTTCCCTACCTATTGAGGAAAAAATCTTTATAAACTTAAGTATATAGCATAATGTTAGTATGAGGAGAAGGAAGAAGGGGAGTCAATCCTGCCACCAGAGCACCTGTGCACACCGGCTCTGGTGAGATATTCTTTACCTGCACCAGCCAAGGGCCAAGTTAAGTGCTTGGCGTATGGCTGTGTGTGTTAAACAGAAAGAAGGGAAAGGAGAGGCAGCCTCTGGAAGCTTTCCCAGACCAGTTCTCAGGGTCCTTAGGGAGCACAGTGCTACAAGGAATCAACTTGCTAAGCATCAGCTTTCAACTGTGCCCATGGTAACAACGGTCACAATAATCATCAGAACCCATCATAACAACACTGGACATGCTCTACCAGCTCCAGGGCAGGCCCTCAGGGAAAGGAGAGAAGATTTGTGGAAAGACCAGAAACTGAAATATATTAAAAGAACATGATGAAAAATATATTCTTTCCTTCCCTGAATTTCTGATCTAAAATGCTCTGAAATGCAATCATATACTTGAATATGAGAACACAGAGCCAACTTAGTCAGAAGGAAGAATGTAGATAGCTGTGATTTTTGCTTAGGCCAAGAAGAAAAATCCTGTGAAGATGCAACCAAGAGAGGAGTGGGTCAAAACTACCAGGCCCACGGCATTAGCCCTTGGTCACACTTCTGCAAGAACACAGCTGCTATTCTCAGCAGTGGCCCAGGAGTTGAGGCATCTTGGGCAGGCACTGCTGAGAACCCCAGGAGAGCCTACTAAGTCAGAGATGCTTACTTGCTGTGCTCCCTCCCACCTGCTCTCTCTAGCCAGGTCTACCAGGTTCAGGGAATAATCCAGCGGCCTGAGGAACTAAGGACCAGGCTAACCCTTTACACCTGAAGCGCAGACTTGAGCACTCTGCATGGCAGGCTTCCTGGGGGACACTGCTTCTCCCAAGGCCCTAAGCGCCGCCCCAGGCTCCCATCTGTGCTTTCAGCCTGATTGCTTGGCTAGTCTGGCTGCAAAGAGAGAGACACTCCCAAGGAAAAGAAACACCCA